TACTTGCAGAGTTTATTTATATATATATATATATATATATATATATATATATATATTTATTTATTTTATACACACACTTCTAAATTAACAATTTTGGTCTCCAAGTTCCCCTTATGTGCTAATTTGGTTATATCATTATATGTTTTCAACATGAGAATGTAGTTTCTTAGACACGTGAGTAAACTAAACATTTAACAAATCCCAAATTTCCATTGATAGAGGAACTTAAGTAACATCTTTACAGTAGAGGATTTTACAGTTTCATCTAATTGTTTATTTTCATCTAATTAAGTATTATCATGTATGATAAACTTATTGACTTTTGTAATATCTATATTAAGAATTGTCCATGTCTAGCATGATTTCTCGTTGCTAATAGGACATTGGACATAAATTAAATTCATGTATTACTATCATTATTATTAGGCCTAAATATTTCTTTTAATTAATCCGGAATTATTCTAATTTTATCTTTTAAGCTTTAAGGTAATTATTATAGACATGATTGCACCTGTTACGAATGACAGTATATGAATGAAGGACACTCTAACTTGAAAAAGAAAATGATTTTATTATGTAATTAAATTATTCTATCTTTATCTGTAAGAATCTAATTTTTTAAAAAAGAAAATAAGAAAACAAAATAAGTTAGAAGATCATACACATATAATTAGGAAGATTGTATAGAAAAATTTTATAGATATTTCCTCTAATTATAACATTTAAAAAAAAAAAAACTTACATTGTAAGTAAAAGTATATTTTAATCAATTCTTCCTATTGTTATAGCATTTGAATTTTATAGTGAAATTAGGGTACATCAAATGTTTTGCGGTGCAGGTCATTGGTCTTGATTTCTCGAAGGATCAGTTATCGATTGCTTCATCCCGGCAACAATTACTTTCAAAGAAGTGCTTCACGAATATTGAGTGAGCATGGGTAAATTTTGCAGTCTGCAGACATTAATTATAACCTGGGGATTTTTTTAATATAATTTTAAACTCTTTTTCTATTTTTGAACCTTCAGAAGAACTTTTGGTGTAGAATAAAGATATTAGCAGTGTGTATAGTAGAGTTCTTATTATGTTTGTGTTGTATATTAGTATCATTGATGCTTTGGGAAGGTAGTAATGGTTTGTTGCGTCGTAGGTGGCTTGAAGGTGATGCACTTGACTTGCCATTTATGGATGGTTGGTTTGATGCTATCACTATGGGCTATGGTCTTCGAAATGTGGTTGATAAACATAAGGCAATGCAGGAAATTTTCCGTGTCCTAAAAGCCGGTAGGTTTTGTATCTCTATCCATTAACGTGATAATTGATGTTTATATTAAATTTGATACATTTTATGGTTTATTTTGCTTTCCAGACTCTACAGTGTCTATACTGGACTTTAATAAAAGCAATGAGTCACTAACTTCTGCAATTACGGTATATCTCAGTCTCACTTGTTGCTTTATATAGGATCTAATAATAATCGGCACATCAATGCTCCTTCATTTTGGACTAGTATTTCTGATCTTTTCAGTAAATTGAAAGGTTTGTCTTTAGACTAAAAATCAAGGTGAAAGAAAAATGCATTCATTCTTTTCAGCAATGCTTTTGACAGGATAGGACCGACGAAAATCATGTTTGGTACTGCTAAATTTAGGGAAAAATTTTCAATCCACTTGTCTAAACATATATTACCACATCTTATTCGTACAATTTTTTTTTTTTAATTTGCTGTTGCCGTTTTCATTTCGTGGTGCACTGAAGGTAACCCCACGTATTTACTTATGATAGGAATGGATGATTGACAATGTTGTTGTACCTGTTGCGTCTGGTTATGGTCTTTCAGAGGAATACATATACCTTAAAAGTTCAATAAGAGAATTTTTAACAGGTTTGTCTTCAAATGAATTTTTTTATCAGATCAGACTTTTTATAGGATTTTTACATTGTATGTCTCGCCCGTTTCTTCTTCTCAGTACTTGAGATATATTGAGAAACTTTCTTTGTAAAGTATATATTCTCAGTGGTTATAGAATGTCATTAGTGTGGCTGTGACTTGGATTTTAATCGTATGGCTTGCCTTTGTTTCTGTGAATATTATAATGGTTGGGATCCATCATACTTATTTGGATTGAGCGAATTACTTAAAGCTTTAGATTCAATCCAGTCTAATCAGCTATCAGGTGGTAGAAATGAGATAGGTCTGGCTATACTTTTCCTTAAAATTAGGCCTGGTATATTTCCTAAAATATAATATTTTTTATATTTTTAAGGTCTAACTTTTTCTAACAATGTGACTTCTTGAAAGCCTATCCAAAAGCCTATGTTATAGCAGGGCCTTTTTAAAGGTCAAAAACAAACTTTTAAATAGACTAATGGCGTAAGGCTTTGTGTATAGATATATATTTTCATAAGGTTATAATTCAATACAATAATAAAACTATTATATTATATTATTTGCATCTGCTTAAATAGGTTGGTTTATTAGTTCTAATCTAAGTNATTTTGGACTAGTATTTCTGATCTTTTCAGTAAATTGAAAGGTTTGTCTTTAGACTAAAAATCAAGGTGAAAGAAAAATGCATTCATTCTTTTCAGCAATGCTTTTGACAGGATAGGACCGACGAAAATCATGTTTGGTACTGCTAAATTTAGGGAAAAATTTTCAATCCACTTGTCTAAACATATATTACCACATCTTATTCGTACAATTTTTTTTTTTTAATTTGCTGTTGCCGTTTTCATTTCGTGGTGCACTGAAGGTAACCCCACGTATTTACTTATGATAGGAATGGATGATTGACAATGTTGTTGTACCTGTTGCGTCTGGTTATGGTCTTTCAGAGGAATACATATACCTTAAAAGTTCAATAAGAGAATTTTTAACAGGTTTGTCTTCAAATGAATTTTTTTATCAGATCAGACTTTTTATAGGATTTTTACATTGTATGTCTCGCCCGTTTCTTCTTCTCAGTACTTGAGATATATTGAGAAACTTTCTTTGTAAAGTATATATTCTCAGTGGTTATAGAATGTCATTAGTGTGGCTGTGACTTGGATTTTAATCGTATGGCTTGCCTTTGTTTCTGTGAATATTATAATGGTTGGGATCCATCATACTTATTTGGATTGAGCGAATTACTTAAAGCTTTAGATTCAATCCAGTCTAATCAGCTATCAGGTGGTAGAAATGAGATAGGTCTGGCTATACTTTTCCTTAAAATTAGGCCTGGTATATTTCCTAAAATATAATATTTTTTATATTTTTAAGGTCTAACTTTTTCTAACAATGTGACTTCTTGAAAGCCTATCCAAAAGCCTATGTTATAGCAGGGCCTTTTTAAAGGTCAAAAACAAACTTTTAAATAGACTAATGGCGTAAGGCTTTGTGTATAGATATATATTTTCATAAGGTTATAATTCAATACAATAATAAAACTATTATATTATATTATTTGCATCTGCTTAAATAGGTTGGTTTATTAGTTCTAATCTAAGTGGATTTTCTAATGGCCTAAAGTCTTGACCTTTTCTTGCCAAATAAGCTTTCAAAAAGGTTCTGCCTAACTTACTTAATGTGCTTAAATGTGGACAAAGTTCATATGCCCCAATGAATTACCTGGCTTATTCCCATTCCTATAGTAATTGTTATAGCCTCAATATCAGACTCACTTAACTTGTTGGCCAACTGAAAAACCTCACTTAAGAATTAAAAGGCTGATTTCATGGTACAAGTGTAATGGAGGGAAGGATAGGTCACGAGTTAAAGTTTTCCTACGAACAAAAAAAAGATAAACATATTAACATAAGGCATGATAGGATGCAATGCTGCCAAAATCCTCTAAGCTCAAGATTTTACGTTATTCTCGTTAAATTTAGTTCACCTATCTTACTCTCAAAAGTGGGCCCAAGTTTGGAGCCTCCAAACTTTTGGAGACTTCTGCAAACAGCTTCAGTTTTATTGATCCTCACATTGAAATGGTTACTTAGGATTATGGATGCTTGTTTAGTAAACTGTCCTAAGCACAAGCATAAAAGTTTCTTTTGTTCTATTACACAACATGAGCACATCTGACTATATGTTATGCTATACTTGATACTATATTATATGCGGGTGAGTGGTGGGGTGCTTTAGTCATCAATTTTTGCACCTGTGTCCATTTAACATTGTAATCTTGCAAGTTTTCATTTTGTTGGGGGTACGATTGTCATTCCTTGTTATGTAGTTTGTAATTGTGATGATTAGAGACATTTAAATTATGTTGATAAGATTTATTGTCTAATTTAAGAATCTTCCTGTGATGCAGGAAAGGAATTGGAGAAACTTGCCTTGGAAGTAGGATTTTCTGATGCCAGACATTACGAGATTGGTGGAGGCATCATGGGGTGTCTGGTAGCTAAGCGTTAGATATGGGATTTATGTATTTTTTTTAACCCTTTTGTATTCAGGTTGTAAAAACATAATCCATAAATGCTTCAGTAAGATTTTCATATGATCTTTCTCAAATGGTACATTCCTCCATTAAATCCATTATCTCAAGTTTTGGGAGAAAATTGAGTTATTTGGGCTTGGGCCCTGGGCAAACTGCTGGGTCATAGAAAGTTCATTTTTTTAAAATCAGAAAGAATATCCTTTTTTTTCTCTCTTACATGATATGGAATTGATAATTATCTTAAAGGAATAATGCAATCTAATACAAAACATTTTTTATATTCAAATTTAAAAATATACTAAAGAGATATTAGATTGCTTATAGATAAAGAAAACTAAAGGAGGAGAGACTTGTAAGCCTTTTTGTCACTTTTTAAACTCTTCATGTCCTGTTTATGATCATATCACAAAAGTATTAGTATTTATGAGCTGTCACATAAATCAAATTAATCTATAATTCTTATAATATGGAACTGTACAATATGCATTGTTTGCTTCCCATAACCAAATTGGACATTTGGATTAAAATTTCTTCGTAAGTATGCATCCTAAATAGAAAAACATCTGATGCTTGGTGAGCAACCTTAAGCGTCATAGGTCTGAGGCAGACTAAGTTATTTGCCAATCACAAGCAATGCTGCAGACATGCAGTGTGTAGGGATTCTCTGCATTCTCGTGGTCACCTGGGATAGAAAGAGCTATGGGACATGGTAGCCACTGAATCAGGTGCATTAAGAGGATAAAATGGGTCCGCACTTGTGTCATGAAGTTCCATGGTACTCTCATCTAGGAAGGGTGGATTAGAAGGAGCAATTAGATTCTCCTCCTTCTTTGTTAGCATCTTTAGTGCCTTTGACATACATGGTCGCAAGGAACACATTTCTTGGGTGCATAGAAGTCCTATGTGAACCACTCTTAAAATCTCATCCTTAACCTCGCTGTTGTTGTCTTCCTGTAACTCTATATTTGGATCAAATAATTGTTCAGCAGTCCCTGCCTGAAAATGCTTCCATGCCTGATATTGCCAGAATATTTTTGGGTAAACAGAAGAACAAAATTGTTTCGTCAGTTATTTATTTTGTTAACCATAATCAACGTACAGAGGAGCAACAATTAGAAGAAACAACCAAAGAATCTGCTACTTACCACTGTAACTAAGCTGTCTGAATACTCCGATACTATGCTCCTGTTGTTCTGTCTACCAGTGACCATCTCTAGCAGCAACACTCCAAAACTATACACGTCTGCCTTTTCTGTTAACTGACCATGAGCTAGGTACTCAGGAGCCATATACCCCCTGCAGGTCCAAGAGTAAATGGTTATCTCAGATAAAATATTGCTTCAGTTTTCTGCAACAGCACCTGGCTCTTTCCCTCGTACTATTATTTCTTCAAAACTAGGCAGTGATTTATGAAAAGATACTTACAAAGTTCCTGCAATAGCTGTACTTATGTGGCTCTTGTCCTCTTGAAAGGACCTGGCCAGACCAAAATCTGCAATTTTAGCACGAAACTTTGCATCCAATAGGATGTTGCTGGCTTTTATATCTCTGTGAATTATCTTTGTTTTAGAGTTTTCGTGCAGATAAACTAATCCTTCGGCTGTCCCGATGATAATTTCAAATCTCTTTTCCCAGTTTAATTCTTTGCCCTTGTTTTTATCTGTCATGTATAACTTGACAAATATTAAATTCAGTTCCGTAATTACCAAAAATTTATAATCACTTTGTGATCAAAATGAGGTGAATAGGTGAAAAGGGTAGTCAAGCCTACTGCATGAGTTCCGTAATTACCAAAAATGAAGCGATCAAGACTTTTATTGGGCAGGAATTCATAAACAAGCAGGCTTTCAGGTCCTGAACAACTGCATCCTAACAGTCTGACCAGATTCTTGTGTTCCACACTACTAATTATGTTGACTTCGTTGTAGAAATCTGCTGCTCTATGTCTGTTGTTGAAATATAACCTCTTGATAGCAATCTCTCTTCCATCAGCTAGAACTCCCTGCAATAGCAAATTGTAAGAATGCGATGATTCGTACAATGATGGATAGATATTTGTCTTCAGAGAAGAGAAGTACTTTATAAACTGTTCCAAATCCTCCTTGCCCTAACTTGTTATTTTCATGAAAAGATCCAGTAGCTTTGTCCAATGTAGAGTACTTGAAGTTCAAGCTTTTGTTCTGAAGAGATTTTGCTAACTTTTCTGCATCATTTGAACCTGGAAACCAGAATGATCATTGGAATCGCTAAATATTCTTCAATAGTTGAGTGGTATCACGTGATGTTTCATCAATTTGTTTATAGACAAGGTGAATAATCTCTTCATAGATAAAATAATTCATAAGCAAAATTTATCTTTGAGAGCAGAAGGACTATCTTATAAACACGCAGCTGAAACAACCAATATCTGGTAGTCTAAGTGACAAGGTACTAAATTGTTCCTAAGCAAGGCTCAAGGTTTGAAATTTTTGAATAAAGAAAATAATCACTGAAAACCTTAGCTCAGCTCGAACTGGTTTGGCTCAAAACGGCTATTTAATCAAACCAAAAAATTACAGTTAGACATTATCGGTTGGGGAATGGAAATGATTATAAAATTTGGGTTTCTCATTCTCAGGCTAATAAATGTACTTAACAAATAAGACAATTACCTCTTCGTTTCTTCTGAATGTATCTTTGTTTCCATATATAAACTCCAATAGCTACTCCAACCACCAAAACAATCATCGAACTAACTACTGCAACCACTATTACTACCACGTTACCTGCACAAATAATCAAAATGAACTATACTCAAGATTCACCATTACTCTCTAAAAATTTTTCAATGCAGGATCCTGCATCCAAGCACAGATTGTTCGTCAATTATGAATTGTGAAGAAATCAACAATTTATTTACCTCTTGAACTCCCATTTTCCTGTTCCTTGTTAAGAAAATCTGTGTCTGAGTACCTCATGAAGCAGCCGGTGTTGAGTGCTCGCCCTTCTGACCAGGGCAAGCATCCCTGTAAGGAAAAATATGCATTCTCAAGACATGCTTTGCAAGACCTTTGGTCCAAAGTCCTCCAACAATCCGCCAGAACATAAACAGATTGGTTAGTTGTTCCTGCGACAGCAACATTCCCTCTAGCATATCCTTTGTTGTTGGGTGCATCTTGAACTGCTCTTAAAACTGCTTGCTTTGCCGCTGCTTGAAAACTTGAATTCTTCTTGGTCGTGTTCCCACATACAGCTTTGTCTCCTGGTCCTGTATACTCATTAAAGAAACTATAATTCCCAGCCCTCATGAAGCACCCATCAAGGAAAATGCGACCAGAGTTATAAGGGTAACACTGAGGAAGAACAGTACGTGCCTCAGCATAGCACAATACACAGTCAAGCAATGAAAGATCCCCATAACACTGGGCCAGGCCATAGTTAGTATCAGGTCCTGTCCCTACAACTGCTGTGCCAAAGCCAGTTTTCCGCATCTCATCACTGATCTTCTCCATAGTTGCAACAAAATTGGGAACAAATATAGTAGAATTATGCTCTCGTACATTGCCACATGTTACTAGGACCGTCTTGGCCCTTGGTTCTGCTATAACAGTCTTTGATAGCAGTAGTAACTTCATCACAACAAGGTGGCATAAAGAGATGAGAGAGACTACTTTCTTCATTTTTAGGACGATCCAATCAAAATAGATTTCTCTGGTGAGCTATTCACTACAAACTGTGGAAAAAAAGGGGAGGGTTTAGAATATCTGTGTAGCTATAGGTCTGATAAAAAAAAAGTCATTCCATGTTCGAACTTTACAACTTCTTTTAGTGAATCAGAAACAAGCATAAAGTTTGTCTAACAGGCGCAACAGATTGTTAATGCTTAAGCTAAAATGTTCACAACATGTTTCAACAACTATATCACAATTTCACACATAATCTGAGGTTGAATTCCAAAAACTTATCTGTTCCTGAGAAGAAAGGCAAGTTGAAGACCCAGAGGGACTTTGGAAGAAAAAAATCGTGAAGTAACCAAAGAGGGCAGAATCTCAAGTTCGTACTTCCCTTTTCTGTGCATCCTCGAATTCTCAAAGAATGAAAGAAAGTACTGCTACTTTGGCAGCAATCATCATTAGAAAGTTAGATTTTGGTTCTTTTTCCATGTTTATCACAGAGATGTAAAAAAAACTAAAGTTTTAAACTTGCTCTCACTTACATGACGTATGAATGATGCTGATGTATATGGACCAACAGTTTGAAAAATGAGGAGCAGAATAGAAGCCACTCCACCCTAAGACCCCACTTTGAATTAATAGTAATAATTTATTAACAATCGTTTTTTAATCAACTTTTTAAAAATGCAGCTAAATAAAATAAAATAAAATTGTTAAGACAGTTGGTGGAGGTTGTCTGAAACACAGACAGAGTATGAGATTGAAGGTGACGAAAATAGGAAAAGAATATGACAAAACTTATGACAGCTGTTTATGTTTTTTAATACTTTTGCTTAGCAATTTTTTTTTCAAATTTATAGATTTGAAGGAGAAATTCATTAATGAATCACATAAAATTGATTTTCAAATAAATGATTAGAAAAAAAAAGTGAGAAGAGAATATAAAGATAATCTTATCTAACTTTCTCCACAATAATATATATATATATATATATATA